AAACATAAATCTAAGGTTATTTATTCAGCATTCTGGAAGGAACACATTTTCAAAGTAGTTTACCCACCACTGTCCACTTGACACTTTAGTCAGCTTACATCTTTTGACACAGATTATTTTCTCCAACTGAACCAGACTTGGTCCAGATAAAGGGAACCTGACCTAAGTGAATATGTCCTAAATATACAATGGGCCACACGCTGCAGATAACCATGACCTTCTGTCTCATTCAGATTAAAGTCAAATGTGCCTCAGTTTACACAACCACAAACATTCATCAAACTGTTGACACATGTTTGTCTTTGGGCGGTGAGATGAACCAGGACATACAGAGGAGATCATACCAGAGCAAACAACACCCATTGATCCAAGGATTCAGCTCTGAGGTAGAAGGTAAGCTCTGGGCTGATGGTCAGATCAGAGCCAAGCCATGTTCATGTGGTCAGAAATTGCATTCATATCTGCTGATGTTGTTTCACTTTAGTGCAACTGATTGGTGTCGATATATGCCTGTGGGTAAAGTCGTCCAAATAAGCCGGGGCTGACCACTCTACACCTGGGTGTGCAGCCTTCTCAATCCTATACTTCAATCCATGCAGCTGTGTGCCCATCCCCAATCTTTGTGATAGACTTGTCAAAGCACTCGGACTGAACCCTGAAACCAGGAGCCTGACGAATAACGCTGCATGAGAATAGAATATGATATTGCACCTGTAGTCCATGTTGTGGAGAGGCAAGACCACAGCCACAGGATCATTCAATCTGAAGAGACCAAAGACACAATTAATACAATCAAATTATTTACTTATTTGGCGCATTGACCACGACAGTGACACTTGCAGCGATGAGATCGATTGCAGCTGAAGATGATCTCAGATCCCCCGGGGTCCAGCACTGGTGGTGGCTAGAGTATGGTGTGAATGGGGCGTAGGCGGAGCAGGAGCCAGAGCCAGAGCAGGGTGCTGGGGAGGTGGTGGGTGTTTAAGAGCCTCAGGAAGCGTTGCTTGTCAGGAAGTGGCTACTTTTTAAACTGCCCGCTTTGCTGTGAGAGGGTTGGCAGGAGGCTGGCCAGGCTGTGTGATTGGCTGAGGCTCGAGGCTGGCCGAGCTGTGTGATTTGCAGGCTTGGAAGGGGGAATTTGGACTCGGCCTTTCAGTCTGAATATCCGCTTCAGCTTCATGATCATTGTTTAACCCTGACCTCTGCACCAAACCTGTACTCTCCAAGATCACTACAGCAGTCCTCTGGAAGGACATCATTGAAGTGTAGTGTACCGATAGATTAGAAAAATCATACAATTTGAATCCAGTAATCTTTTACAAATCCTTTCTAAGTCACGTGGTCTTTTGTAAACTACCAACTGAATGTGGTTTATTGTACATAAAGTTTTTATAAAGGAGGCCCCTGGTGCCCCGGGCAGCTCTGTTAAGGCTGTACTCTCCCCAAACAGCTGCAATAGCAAACCACAGATCATGAATATAACACATCGCATTTAATATAAAGCGCAAGACAAACTATTGTTTGTGTCTCAGAAAGATAAGATAAGATAAGACTTTATTGATCTCACACTGGAGAAATTTACAAAGAAACACTCTTATGCTGCTGTCTTGTTGCTGATGTTGTGTGTCATCCATCACTGCCATCGTCTGAGAGACACATGTCACCATCCTGTAATCGTGGACCTGCCTCATTCTGCCGCATATTTACAGCTTACAGATCTTCTTAAAACAACAGTATTTATACTTTGGTAACACTTTACATTACGGGCCGGTAAGTCCATGGTACTTACAGTGGTACTTCTAGGTACTTACAGTGGTACTTCTAGGTACTTATTGTGGTACTTACAGAGGTACTTACAGTGGTACTTCTAGGTACTTATTGTGGTACTTACAGAGGTACTTACAGTGGTACTTCTAGGTACTTATTGTGGTACTTACAGAGGTACTTACAGTGGTACTTCTAGGTACTTATTGTGGTACTTAGAGGTACTTACAGTGGTACTTATTGTGGTACTTACAGTGGTACTTCTAGGTACTTATTGTGGTACTTACAGTGGTACTTCTAGGTACTTATTGTGGTACTTAGAGGTACTTACAGTGGTACTTATTGTGGTACTTACAGTGGTACTTAGAGGTACTTATTGTGGTACTTACAGTGGTACTTCTAGGTACTTATTGTGGTACTTAGAGGTACTTACAGTGGTACTTATTGTGGTACTTACAGTGGTACTTCTAGGTACTTATTGTGGTACTTAGAGGTACTTACAGTGGTACTTATTGTGGTACTTACAGTGGTACTTCTAGGTACTTATTGTGGTACTTACAGTGGTACTTCTAGGTACTTATTGTGGTACTTACAGTGGTACTTAGAGGTACTTATTGTGGTACTTACAGTGGTACTTCTAGGTACTTATTGTGGTACTTACAGAGGTGCTTACAGTGGTACTTCTAGGTACTTATTGTGATAATTCTAGATACAGCTGTAACTTAGTAATTCAAGGATACTACAGCATTATTCCTATGTAGTAAATGTGGTACTTCTACATACATACATACATACATACATACAGAGGTCATTTGTAGGATTGTTTGACTATAAAACATAAAACAACATTATGTAAAACAAACGTCTTTATTAATATGGAATAAGTAGCACAGAAAGGACAGTATAAATACATTTAATGCATATTTCAAAACAAGTTTCAAGGACAAGGGAAACACTGCAAGAACTAGGTACCCAACCCAAGTAACAAGAATTACACATTAACACACCAGTAAGACTTGGCAGCAAGTACCAGGTACTTGGCAGCAAGTACCAGGTACTTGGCAGCAAGTACCAGGTACTTGGCAGCAAGTACCAGGTACTTGGCAGCACAGTAAGTACCAGGTAGTACCTGGTACTAGCCACAGACAAAGGACTTGGCCACATACAAATGACTTGGTAATATGTCAAAGACTTCACCATAAGTACCAGTGATAACACCAGTAATTATACAGCAAGTACCAGGTACTTACCATAGGAACTGGCCCATAATAAGACAAAGGACTTACCCATAAGTACTAGTGATAATACCAGTAATTATATAGTATACCATGTACTTACCAGCAAGTACCAGGTACTTACCAGCAAGTACCAGGTACTTAACAGCAAGTACCAGGTACTTAACAGCAAGTACCAGGTACTTAACAGCAAGTACCAGGTACTTAAAAGCAAGTACCAGGTACTTAACAGCAAGTACCAGGTACTTAACAGCAAGTACCAGGTACTTAACAGCAAGTACCAGGTACTTAACAGCAAGTACCAGGTACTTAACAGCAAGTACCAGGTACTTAACAGCAAGTACCAGGTACTTAGCAGCAAGTACCAGGTACTTACCATAGGGACTGGCCCATAATAAGACAAAGGACTTAACCATAAGTACCAGTGATAACACCAGTAATTATACAGTAAGTACCAGGTAATTATCATAGGGACTGGCCCATAATAAGACAAAGGACTTTAACATAAGTACCAGTGATAACACCAGTAATTATATAGTAAGTACCAGGTACTTACCATAGGGACTGGCCCATAATAAGACAAAGGACTTTAACATAAGTACCAGTGATCATACCAGTAATTATACAGTAAGTACCAGGTAGTACCTGGTACTAGCCACAGACAAAGGACTTGGCCACATACAAATGACTTGGTAATATGTCAAAGACTTCACCATAAGTACCAGTGATAACACCAGTAATTATACAGCAAGTACCAGGTACCAGAAACTTGGAACAAAATTATACACAGGAACAGGATACAAAAATAATTATATATACATATACACACAAATATATATTTATATAATGTCGTATATATATATATATATTATAGGATATATAAAATAACAGTATAATGGTGTGGTTATAATCAATTACAGGTTTAAGACATTTCACTTTGGAACATAGTTTTTTGACTGGCAACTGTAGAATGCCTCAATTGAAAGTTTAACTTTTTTTGGCACAGTTTGTGTCTTCATGCATAACTAAAATGCTGCATAACATTTGTTGACACAAGACTGTCTTCCACTGACATACAAATTAAGGCCTAAGTTTGTATGACAGTGGAAGAAGTTTTCCTTTTTTTTTCATTTTCTCAACTTGCCTACTGAGATCACCATTTTCATCGAGAAATTTCTTAAGGACCCAGGAGAACTTTTGCAGGGTCATGCCAGGTTGAAATTCTGGGGGAGTCATCCCCATTTCTTTCGACACCATAAGGACCTGCGGATAAGTACCTCTAAGTACCACAATAAGTACCTAGAAGTACCACTGTAAGTACCTCTGTAAGTACCACAATAAGTACCTAGAAGTACCACTGTAAGTACCTCTGTAAGTACCACAATAAGTACCTAGAAGTACCACTGTAAGTACCTAGAAGTACCACTGTAAGTACCATGGACTTACCGGCCCGTAATGTAAAGTGTTACCTATACTTTTATATAAATGGATGATGCCAATAACTCACACTTATTTTCAAATTTAAAAAAGCCAATTTTTCTGAACTAAACTTTTCAGATTATGACTGCATCATAAATATAATCTGAGATATTTAATATTCCTTAATAACATTTCAAAAAGGTGACCTGAATGCATCTTTTCAAGGTTAAAATCATAATGTATTTGATACACTGAATAAAGAGTCTTGCTTCTCTGATTTTTGTCCAGATGGGGAAAGATGGAAAATGAGCCAAAAGCAGCAAAGAAACAAGGTAATTTACAGAGTTCCGGGTTGATAGTCGCATAATGAATCTCATGATGAAGTTACTTACTAACAAATAATTATTTTATAAGCTGCAGAAGCCACACTAATTGAAATTGTGCATGCTGTGAGGGGAAGTGGTAATCAAACATTTAGCGTAACTTGAGATTGGAAAGCAAATTAGAATTTCATCAACACTTTTAAGTGAGAGAATAAACTGATACAAGCTTGCAGTATCCACTTCTTTAGACTAAACTGACATGCCTGTCCCCATGGTCAGCAGCCTGTCCCCATGGTCAGCAGCCTGTCCCCATGGTCAGCAGCATGTTCCCATGGTCATCAGCCTGTCCCCATGGTCAGCAGCCTGTCCCCATGGTCAGCAGCCTGTCCCCATGGTCAACAGCCTGTCCCCATGGTCAGCAGCCTGTCCCCATGGTCAGCAGCCTGTCCCCATGGTCAGCAGCATGTTCCCATGGTCAGCAGCCTGTCCCCATGGTCAGCAGCCTGTCCCCATGGTCAACAGCCTGTCCCCATGGTCAGCAGCCTGTCCCCATGGTCAGCAGCGGCCACACAACAGGACAAAGGAACGTTCTTCACTGAGTGCATCAGAAAAGTTGTTTCTTTACTGTCGTCTCCATTCGAGGACATTCAGGACTCTCCACAAAGCACAATAAGGTGTTAATGAAGTTTTTGTCCAAATTAAATGCATTTACACTAAATAAATGCTAGTGTTTAAGCCATTGGTTTATAGGAAACGGGAGGACCAAAGTCCACAAATATGCACATTTATTTATTTATTGTTTATTTGGTTGGGATAGTACATGTTAATGAACACAGCACTACGGATTGTAGCCGTGGGCTAATTTGCATCCGTTGTCCCACATTCGCACTCACAAACACACACTCATTCACCCTGAACTATTGCACATGTTTTTAGTGGTACGGGAAACCGGAGTACCCGGAGGAAACCTACACAGACACAGGGAGAACACGCAAACTCCACTCAGAAAGGACCTGTTTTGACCGGGATTTGAACCCTGAACCTTCTTGCTGAGAGGCAAGAGTGCTATCCATTCTGCCACATAGCCACATAAATACAAATGATTTTAAATGTTCTGGATTATCACTGTCCTTGGACCCTTCTGCATCAACAACTCACAAACCATTAAAACCTTGGGGAGGCCCATCATGAAAGAGGGATCACAGACTGACAGGCTATAGAACTCAGACTGTGGGGGCGGTGACTGAGGCGGAGGAGGGTCCCAGGCAGGGAGGGGTACAGTCCCTTGGGTATGGTCTGAAGAGTTGGCTGAGTGAGAGCTGGTCATCTCATATTCACTTTTCTATTTAAAAAAGGATGCATAGATTGTGTTCTGTTTTTGTTGTTTGTAAAATGTGGTGCTCCAGCTTTAAATATGAAACTTTGTGTTGAGTATGTAGTAGTTTGGCATCTTCTTTGTTTAGTTCTTTATGGTTTGGTACCATTTGGTTCCCTCCTGTGGGCCCACCACCTGCAGAGGGGTCCGTGGTGGCGAGGTGCAGAGAGGACTGGGCAGCAGTCGAAGGCGGAGACCTCGACGACCCAGTCCACACACCCAACATCTGGCTCTTGGGACGTGGAACGTCACCTCACTGGGGGGGAAGGAGCCCGAGCTTGTGGGGGAGGTTGAGCGATACCGACTAGAGATAGTCGGCCTCACCTCCACACACAGCTTGGGCTCTGGAACCCAACTCCTTGAGAGGGGTTGGACGCTCCACTTTTTTGGTGTTTCCCGCGGGGAGAGGCGGCGAGCTGGGGTGGCCATACTCATTGCCCCCCATCTCAGCCGCCACGTGTTGGAGTTCTCCCCGGTGAATGAGAGGGTCGCGGCCCTCCGCCTCCGGGTGGGGGACAAGTCTCTCACTGTTGTGACGGCCTACGGGCCTAACGGTAGTGCAGAGTACCCGGCCTTCTTGGAGTCCTTGGGAGGGGTACTGGACAGTGCACCGCCCGGGGACTCCGTTATTCTCCTGGGGGACTTCAACGCCCATGTGGGAAATGCCAGTGACACTTGGAGAGGGGTGATCGGGAAGAACGGCCCCCCTGATCTGAACCCGAGCGGTGTTCAGTTGTTGGACTTCTGTGCCAGTCACAGTTTGTCCATCACGAACACCATGTTCGAGCACAAGGGTGTCCATCAGTGCACGTGGCACCATGACACCCTAGGCCGGAGGTCGATGATCGACTTTGTTGTCGTATCATCTGACCTTCGACCGCGTGTCTTGGACACTCGGGTGAAGAGAGGGGCGGAGCTGTCAACCGATCATCACCTGGTCGTGAGTTGGATCCGCTGGCAGGGCAGGAGGCCGGACAGACCTGGCAGGCCCAAGCGTGTACCGTCTCTTCCTCTATCGCCAATGCGGCGGCTCGTAGCTGTGGTCGCAAGGTCTCTGGTGCTGGTCCCGGCGGCAATCCCCGAACCCGGTGGTGGACACCGGCAGTAAGGGATGCCGTCAGGCTGAAGAAGGAGTCCTATCGAGCAATGATGGTTCGTGGGACTCCTGAGGCAGCTGTCCAGTACCGGCAGGCCAAACGTGCCGCGGCCCGGGCTGTTGCAGAGGCAAAAACCCGGGTCTGGGAGGAGTTCGGAGAGTCCATGGAGCATGACTATCGGTCGGCCTCGAAGAGGTTCTGGCAAACCGTCCGGCGCCTCAGGAGGGGGAAGCAGTTCTTTGCCAACACCGTGTATGGTGCGGGTGGAGGGCTGCTGACCTCGACTGGGGATATTGTCGGGCGGTGGAAGGAATACTTCGAGGTTCTCCTCAATCCCCCCGTCACGTCCTCCGTCCAGGAGGCAGAGGCTGAGGATGTTGGGGCGGATACTTACATCTCCCTGGCCGAGGTCACCAAGGTGGTTGGCAGCCTCCATGGTGGCAAGGCGCCGGGAGTGGATGAGATCCGTCCTGACTATCTAAAGTCTCTGGATGTTGTAGGACTGTCTTGGCTGACACGTCTCTGCAGCATCGCGTGGCGATCGGGGGCGGTACCAATGGAGTGGCAGACCGGGGTGGCGGTCCCTCTCTACAAGAAGGGGGGCCGGAGGGTGTGTTCCAATTATCGTGGGATCACACTCCTCAGCCTCCCCGGTAAGGTCTACTCCAAGGTACTGGAGAGGAGGCTACGTCCGATGGTCGAATCTCGGATTCAGGAGGAGCAGTGTGGTTTTCGTCCAGGTCGCGGAACACTGGACCAGCTCTATACTCTCCATCGGATACTCGAGGGTTCATGGGAGTTCGCCCAACCTGTCCACATGTGCTTTGTGGATTTGGAGAAGGCGTTCGACCGTGTTCCCCGGGGTGTCCTTTGGGGGGTCCTCCGGGAGTACGGGGTCCGGGGTCCTCTGCTGAGGGCCGTCCGGTCCCTGTATGACCGGAGTCAGAGCTGTGTTCGCATTGCCGGCAGTAAGTCAGACCTGTTCCCGGTGCATGTTGGCCTCCGCCAAGGCTGCCCTTTGTCACCGGTTCTGTTCACTGTATTTATGGACAGAATTTCTAGGCGCAGCCAGGGGCCGGAGGGGGTCCGGTTCGGGAACCACAGGATTTCATCTCTACTTTTTGCGGATGATGTCGTCCTGCTGGCTCCAACGAACCAGGACCTGCAGCATGCACTGGGACGGTTTGCAGCCGAGTGCAAAGCGGCTGGGATGAGAATCAGCACCTCCAAATCCGAGGCCATGGTGCTCGACCGGAAAAAGGTGCCTTGCCCTCTTCAGGCGGGTGGAGAGGTCCTTCCTCAAGTGGAGGAGTTCAAGTATCTCGGGGTCTTGTTCACGAGTGAGGGGAGGATGGAGCGTGAGATTGACAGGCGGATCGGTGCAGCGTGCGCAGTGAAGCGGTCGCTGTATTGGACCGTTGTGGTAAAGAGGGAGCTGAGCCGAAAGGCAAAGCTCTCGATTCACCGGTCAATCTTCGTTCCCTCCCTCACCTATGGTCATGAGCTGTGGGTAATGACCGAAAGAACGAGATCGCGGATACAAGCGGTCGAAATGAGCTTCCTCCGCAGAGTGGCTGGGCGCTCCCTTAGAGATAGGGTGAGGAGCTCGGTCACACGGGAGGAGCTCGGAGTAGAGCCGCTGCTTCTCCACGTCGAGAGGAACCAGTTGAGGTGGCTCGGGCATCTGTTCAGGATGCCTCCTGGACGCCTTCCTGGGGAGGTGTTCCGGGCACGTCCCACCGGGAGGAGGCCCCGGGGAAGACCCAGGACACGCTGGAGAGACTATGTCTCTCAGCTGGCCTGGGAACGCCTTGGGGTCCCCCCGGACGAGCTGGAGGAGGTGTGTGTGGATAGGGAAGTCTGGGCGTCTCTGCTTAGACTGCTGCCCCCGCGACCCGGCAACGGATAAAGCGGAAGAAAATGGATGGATGGATGGAAAAAAAAAAAAATGGGTTTGGTACAGATTTTGGCATTCAATCTTGGGCTTTACTAAAAATGATGAGCTGATCTCTTATTTCATCCAATTTATTGCTTCTAGTTGTATCGATCAGCCGACACACACTCAAGGCTTGGAAAAAATTGTTCTCTCGCAAATAATGATGGCGCCCAAAACCAAATAAGACATCACTCTGACAGCATGATGTCACTGTTGGCAAGAGGAGCAGGGAGAAAGAGAGAGAGAGAACATTCTCGGTCCAAAAAGCTGAAATGTATTCCCTGTGCATATTCTACTGCCAGGAGGACGCCGCACTGAACCTGCAGAAATTGCTTCCTTCCTATTCCTGACATTGGCTGTAAAGCGATTTGAATTAACCATTGGCCACAATCTGTTTGGCTTCTCTCTGCCCTGTCATCCACATGTGGGCCCCAGCCTTGCTTCAAAGCATCATTAGCACACCAATGGAAAATTGGTGGATTGAAAAACTTTGAATATGTTTTGGAATATACACATAAAGCTCAAATGTGATATCAAAGTTGGACATTGCATTGTACAAAATGCTCCAAGGAAGCAGAAGCAGCAGAAGTCATTTTTTGTTGCCTCGGTTGGTTTCATACATTTTAGATTTTTGTTTTTATAATTTCTATTCCAAAGACAGTTCTATTCATCTAATGTGTATCCCAAATAGTGAAGTTCTAGTGCAATGTCAACTGGTGAAGATAATTTGGAGGGATTGGGACTGAAGTCAGTTAAATACAGTATATAGTGTTGGGGTTACACACACATGACTGGTGTGTGTGAGTGCGTTTGTGTGTGCGTGTGCGTGTGTATGTGTGTGTGTGTGTGTGTGTGTGTGTGTGTGTGTATGTGTGTGTGTGTGTGTGTATGTGTGTGTGCGTTTGTTTTGTGGACATATGAGGACTTTTGTATGATAACACACCTTCAATATCAGGACCTGAGGAAATGTGAGGACTTTTTTCAGGTCCCCATTTTTCCATGCATACTACAGTGTTGTAGAGGCCCAGAACAAGCTCCACACCAAAAATCAAGCATGTCCCAAAATGTCTACAAATAGTGAAAATGTGTGTCGGGGCCGAAACACTCCGTCCCAAAAAGTTTGAAGCGCCTCTCTGGTCGTGCACGGTACTACCTTAACACACTTTTAACACACACACACTTGTCCTCATATGTCACCTTTTTTGTCACAAACTTAAATACATTCCCAGAGGTGGGTAGAATAGCCAAAATATTGACTCATGGTA